AGTTCTTTGAAGTAAATGGATTTACAAAGCATTTTCAATCAGGATATCCCTCTGTGGACAGATTTCATGTGTTTTGTATTTCCCTTCTATAATTAAGATAGTCCCTGGCAATTTATTTGGAATTCTTCAGAGATATAGAACAGGTATTAACACCCTTATATCTACCACTTAAATTTTATCATTAATTATTGTTATAAATGTTGGATCACAAACCTACTTTGATAATCAGGTTGAACTTGAAGGCAGTAGCTTTCCCACTTGATACAGACTTTTTTGTTTGTTTTATTGCTATCTTACTTTCCTGATGCATACCTTAGCATAGGTATCCTTAACGAGGACTCAATATTTGTTTTTGTTTACATTCACATACAGTAAAAGGCACAGATCATAATTCAGTAAAATATGACAAATGCTAAGCAACCAAAAGCCTATATGCAACCAAAGCTATTGTCAGGATGGATGAAGTTCATGTATTGATAAACTTTCTGTAAAAACCACGACAGTGGTATAGAGTTTATATGCTGCAACTATTGAGTTGTGCTGTTGTATATACAAAAATACTCATAGGTAAATTTTAAGTATACTGGCATGACTGTGTTCTAGTAAAATGTAGTTTTTTGAAGTTTTTGACTAGTATGAATAAGACAGCTCTGAACATTCTTCTATAAACCAGCATATGCTGGTGAGGATGTGTAGCAAGGGGAACACTTGTCCATGTTTTACATTTGAATAATAAAATTTTTACATGTCAACTGTATTTCAGTAAATTGAGGAAAATTAGGTATTAATTTCCGCAGTATTTTATAGTTTTTATAGTTTCTATCATACAGATTATTAATTTCCTTAAAATTTTAAATAAATTATTGTTTCATTTTTAACATGTATGTGTGTGTGTGAGAGAGAGAACAGGAGAGAGAATATGAGCGTATAGATGTGCCACTGTGTGTGTATATATGTGAGTGTAGTATAGTCAGAGTGTACCACAGTGTATATGTGTGTAGGTGAAAGGGTAACTTTATAGGCTTGTGGGTTCCAGGGACAGAAAGAGGTAATATTGTTAGGCTTATGCAAAAACACTCTTACCTGCTGAGCCATCTTCCTGTTTCTTTTTACCTTTCTTTCTTGCGTTACTATCCCTTCTCTCTTCACTCTCCCCCAGGTTAGGCAAATATTCTACTACTGAGCCACATATCAATCTTTTAAAATATTTTAAATTATTTATTTATTGCTCATTTGTTTGTGATAGTAGAGATTAAATCTAGGGCTATACATATACTAAGTAGGCTAGCATTTTCTCACTGAGCTCATTGAGCTACATCTCCAGCCTTAAGTTAAAACGTTTTGTCTGTTGAGTGTGGGCAGACACATCACCTTCCACTGTGTTTGAAATGCAGTCTCTTTTCTGTTGGTCACTGCTATGTAAGCCACACTAGCTGGACTAGGAGTTTCTGGAAATACTCCTGTTTAGACCTACTGTCTTGCCATAGATTGCAGTTACACTTATACTGCTATACCCAACTTTAGATGGGTTTGTGGATTTGAATTCAGTTCCCCATACTTGTGGAGCAAATACTTTACCCAGTGAGCTATCTTCTCAACCCCATACTTTTATTTTTTAAGATAAGAATTCACTAAGTTGCCCAGGCTAGCTTTGAACCCAGCCTTGAACCTGTGATCCTTTTTTCTTTGCTTCCTGAATAGCTTATATTAAAAGCCTATTCCACCATGCCTGGCTTTTATGTTATTTTAAGACAGGATCTCTCTTGGTTTCTCATGCTGACTTTGAGTGTGTGTGTGTGTTTCTTTGTTTATTTATTTATTTTCTTGAGACAGGGTTTCTGTGTGTTGCCTTGGCTGTCCTGGACCAGGCTGGGCTTGAATTTACAGAGATCCTCTGGACTGCAGGCCTGGCTGCCAGGGTAGAATGTTGTCTCTAAAATATTATATATTATTTTAATGGATGACTCTACATTTTACATATCTGAGTTCTGTATTTATTTGAACACATGAGGAATTATGATTGTTGGTTTTTTTTTTATTATCATACCTTGCTACGGTTTCATTTCCTGAAATCAGTGGAATGATTTCTTTATTCTTTGAGTTCTAATCCCCTAATAACCTTTTGGGTGTTGAGGTTGAACTTGTCACCTTGTATATACTACCACTGATGTACACCCTCACCCCTAGCTATATCTGTGTGAAGACAGACTTGATTTATGTAATGCTAATGTTAGTTGGCAGTAGGTTTTCCATGTTCCAGTTTCTCAGAAATAGTCATGAGCTTACTATATGTGAATATGATTTAAATGATGCATAAGTTTATTCTGACAAAGACCATCTTATATGACCAGTTTCTGAGGTAGTATAAGGAATAGAGAACTGATATTTTTTAAGATTTTTAAAATTTTAAACTTTGTTTGTTGAGGGGTGTGTGCTACACATATGTGGGTGACTGCAGAGGCCAGAAGAGTATTCCAATCCCCCAAAGCTGCAATACTGGCTATAACGATCTTCCTGACATTGGTGCTGTAAACCAAACAGCAGTTCTCTGAAAGTGCAGCAAGTGTGCTTAACTGCTAAGCCATCTCTCCACTTCCAAATTTTGTATGAATATATATTTTTTAAGTTTTAAATTTATTACAATTTATTCACTTTGTATCCCAGCTATAGCACCCTCTCTTGTCCCCTCCACTAAAAATCCTGCCCTCCCTCCCTCTTCTCCTCCTTCTCTCTTCTCTTTCCTCCCTCCTCTCCCATGCCCTTTCCCCAGTACACTGTTATGAGAGGTCCTCCTCCCCTTCCATCTGAACCTAGCCTATCTGGTCTCATCAGGACTGGCTGTTTTGTCTCCTCTGTGGCCTGGTAAGGCTGCTCCCTCCTCAGGTGGAGGTGATCAAAAAGCCAGCCACTGAGTTCATGTCAGAGACAGTCCCTGTTCACATTACTATGGAACACACTGGGATACTGATCCGTGCAAGGGTTCTAGGTTATCTCCATGCATGGTCTTTGGTTAGAGTATCAGATCCCTGGGCCCAGATTTCTTTGTTCTGTTGCTTTTCTTGTGGAGCTCCTGTCCCCTCCAGGTCTTTCTATCTCCCCCTTTTTTCATAAGATTCCCTGCACTCTGCCTGACTATGAGTCTCATCTGCTTTTATACAATGCTGGTTAGAGTCTTTCAAAGGCCCTCTGTGGTAGGCTCCTGTCCTGTTCCCTGTTTTCTCCATCTTCTGAGGTCTATCCCATTTGACTTTCTGAATGAGGATTGAGCACCAACAGCAAAAGCTCTAAGATCAAAAATCAATGAATGGGATCTCATGAAATTGAAAAGCTTTTGTAAAGCAAAGGACACTGTCTCATCAGAACAAAACGACAGCCTACAGACTGGGAAAGGATCTTCAACAACCCTATATCTGACAGAGGGCTAATATCCAGAATATATAAAGAACTCAAGAAGTTAAACAACAACCAAGTAATCCAATTTAAAAATGGGGGATACAGAGCTAAACAGAGAATTCTCAATAGAGGAATATTGAATAGCAGAGAAACACATAAAGAAATGCTTAATGTCCTTAGTTATCAGGGAAATGCAAATCAAAATGACCTTGAGATTTCACCTCACAGCCATCAAAATGGCTAAAATAAAAATCTCAAGTTATAATACATGCTAGAGAGGATGTGGAGAAAGGGGAACCCTCCTCCATTGCTGATGGGAGTGTAAACTTGTATAACCACTTTGGAAATTAGCACTTTGTCAGACAACTAGGAGTAGTAATACCTTAAGATCCGGCTATACCACTCCTAGGCATTATCCAAATCATGCTCAAGTATACAACAAGGACATTTGCTCAGCCATGTTTGTAGCAGTTTTATTTGTAATAGCCAGAATCTGGAAACAACCTAGGTGTTCCTCAATTGAGGAATGGATTCAGAAATTGTGGTACATTTATACAATGGAATACTACTCGGCAATTAAAAACAAGGAAATCATGAAATTTGCAGGCAAATGGTGGGATCTAGAGAAGATCATCCTGAGTGAGGTATCCCAGAAGCAGAAAGACACACATGGTATATACTCACTTATAAATGGATATTAGACATGTAATATAGGATAAGCCTACTAAAATCTGTATACCTAAAGACGCTAAGCAAGAAGAAGGACCTTGGGTAAGATGCTCAATCATCATTCAGAACAGCAGATGGAAGAATTTTTAATTTAAAAAGTTTACTGAAATTTTTATTTATTTTATTTTATTTTATATTTTATTTTTTTCCCTCCTGATGATGTTCATCCCTCTTGTCTCTTAGCAGTGCTTGGTACTTCACTATATGGCTCCTCTTGGGAACTTTGAGAAACTATATTTTTTTATTAATTATACTTTATTACTTTGTATCCCCCTGTAGTTCCCTCCTTCCTCCCCTCCCAATCCCTCTCTTCCTCCACCCTCTGCATGCATGCCCTTCCCCAAGTCCATTGATAGGGGAGGTCTTCTTTTCCTTCCTTCTGATCTTAGTCTATTAGGTCTCAGCAGGAGTGGCTGCATTGTCTTCCTCTGTGGCCTGGTAAGGCTGCTCCCCCCTCAGGGGGAGGTGATCAAAGAGACAGCCACTGAGTTCATGTCAGAGACAGTCCCTGTTCCTATTACTATGAAACCCACTAGGAGACTGAACTGCCATGGGCTACATCTGTGCAGGGGTTCTTTTTAAAGACAGTTTTTCACTATTTAGGCCTGCCTGGTCTCAAATTCACAATGTGCCGCCACACCTGGTTTAGCTTTTTTTAGTTTTATTTATTTATTTTTGTGTGTATCTTTCTGTATGCCTACTCACCAAATGCATACTGTGAAGGCCAGAAGAAGGTATTGGATTCCCTGGACCTGGAGTTACAGATAGCTATGAGTTACCATGTGGATGCTGGGACTCAAACCTGGGTCCTCTGAAAGAACTGCCAGTGCTTTTAACCTCTGAACCATTTCTCCAATCCCAGTTCTTTTTTCTTTCTTTAAAATGTGTAATGTTCCACCGATTTGCCTGTCAGCTTTGCACACGGGCCATGCTAATATTTTCTATATCGTTCCAATTTTAGTGTACGTGCCACTGAAGCAAGCACTTAAAACCAGTTTTAACACTGTATGCCACCAGGTGTTTGTTGTTGTTTTTCCACAACACCCTTACTATGATCCTTACCATTTGCTATGCACTTTTCTATGAATAACTGGGAAAATGAATAGCTTTGTAATTTTTTGTTACTTGCTTATTCAATTTTTTATTTTTCTGGATATTTGAAATGGACCTTTCATTTATTTTCTTAAGTGGAAAATAAATTGTCTAGATAAAAATAATTAACAACAATTACTTCCTTCTGTATATTTTGTTCTTTTTTCTTCTGGATGATGCATTAGAAGTCTGGGCCAGGTGTAGTGGTATATACCTTTATTCCTTGCACTGGAAGGCTAAAGAAGATTTTCTTTCGAACTAAACTCTTTCTAAAACTATCATTTCTTCCACTAAATATTTCTTTAAAATGAAGTATAAGGAGAGTTAAGGTTATCTATTATCCTATTTCTCAAAAATAAAACCTTTGTAGTTTTTCGGGTCTTTTGCCTCAGTAAATCATGTATAGAATAATACTTTTTAGTATTTTATCAGAAATAGATTATAACAGCTTTTTAAAAATCCTTATATATTAAGGATCATATGTTTACATTTCTTCATGCGAATCAGAATGTGTGGCTTAATCAGTTTTTGTTTATGTATATCAAAATGGAATGAGAAAACAACCATTTCTAGCCCTCTATAAGGTTCACAAAGATTCATCTACGTTTTTGCATGTATCAGTAGTTTGGTTTTATGAATTGTTCCATTGCAAACAATATCAAAATTTAATTCTCCATTTTCTTGTATTTTTCTAATTTTGGGGTCTTTTGGATACTTAGGATTAGTTATGATTGGGAGTCTTTTGGATAAAGCTACTGTTAACCTTTCTGTGCATTTTCTGGTATATGTACTCATTTCTCTTAACATTTATACATAATTGTGGGATTGCTGGGTCATAGGATATGTGTATATTTAGGTACACTAGATAATGTTGGAAAGTTTTCTAAAGCAGTTATTAAAAAAAAAACATTCACAACAGTAGTGTGTGAGACTTCTGTTGCTCTATATTCTTATAAACACTACTTTTGTCATTTTTAAAAATTCCAGCTGCTGTCGTTAGGTGTGTTTTGGTAATGAAACTTTAAATTTTGAATGGTTGTTGATTGCATTCAGGTCTGTGCATGTGAATGTGCAGAGGTCAGAGGACAACTTGTGGGAGTGGGTTCTCTCCTTGACCATGTGGATTCAAGGGATTGAACTTAGATGTCAGGCTAAGCTAAGCAAGTGCTCTTACCTACTCAACCATCTCTCTGACCGAAGAACGTAGTTTTTTACTTGCATTTCATGGACAAGCAATAAAATAGAACATCTTTTCACACACACACGCACACACAACTCTCTTTATCAGACCTTTTTTCTAGTTTATAAAATTTAATTATGTTTATTTATTTGGGTGAGTGAGTGTACACCACAGTAGATACCTGTGGAATCAGAAGATAAATTATGGGAGTGGGGTTCTTTTCCTCTACCATATGAGTTTTAGGAATCAAACTTAGCTCATCATGCCTAATAATATATAATTAGGATATTTTCATATGTGTATAAATGTGTTTTCATTATTCCTTTAACCACAACTTTCTTGTCCCACTTTCATTCCTGAGAGTACAAGAGTGCCTTAGCTGTCTGGAAGAAAGCGTTCTGCAACACTTCAATTCTTATTTATGTTCTTTCTGCCCCTTCTTCTGCAGTGTTCCCTGAGCCTTGAAGTAATAAAAATATCTTATTTAGGGCTCAGCTCTCAGCAGTTTGTTATTATCAACTCTTACACTAGTTATGAGTCTTTGTAGTAACTACCACTGCAAAAACAAGCTCATCTGACCAAAGCTGACTGCAGTAATGATCTGTAGAAGTATCTAGAAGACAATTTGACAGGAACATTATGTCTAGGGGTGGGTATGACTTCCCCAAATCTAATCAGACAGCTCTTAGTTACACCCCATAATGCACTGCCATTCTTGGACCAGTTGCCATGTCTTGCGTGGCTATTCAGTTGTATAGCATGCAGGCCCAAACTGAAGGATATTCTACAAAATAAGACTATTAATGACAATTCTCCCTCAGCAGCTACATAGTTCCTTGCAGCTCTATGAAAGATAGCCAGGCGTAACTTCCAGTTCAGTTACAGCTTGATTTCCCTACCAGAGAGCATGGAATCTTCAGCAATTTACTTCTGATTCCAGTCCTTGCTATTGAAAACAGGATTCCTGGGGCAAGCTGCCTACCTAGATTTGCCAAATTTGCAATTCTGGGTTCAGTTGAGACCCTAACTCAGTGTATAAGGTGGAAAGCCATGAAGGAAGATCTATGACATTGACCTGGGGCTTCCATTCCTACACCTACATGTGTGCCCACATAGGTGAACATGCATATACATGCGTACCACATCCATATAATTAAATTTTCAACTATTATTGAGATGATGTATTTAATGGCAAGTTCTCCCACCTTGATTCATGATCTAATTAAAGAAAAAACATACATTGCCTTTAATTGTCTTATCTCTTTTGTTTCCTTTGATCTAGACTGGTTCTTCAAGCCTTCATCTTTTATTACTTTGATCTCTCTGAAGAATGGAGGCTTATTAGTTTGTAGAATATCCTTCAGTTTGATTCTGTCTGAATCATCTTCCTCTTTAGTTTAAGTTATAATTTTTTTTGGTCGTGAATACCATGTAAGTGTGGTTGTGTTATTCTTTCTACATCATATTGGTTTATCTCAACATTAGAGGATTAAATTTGATTATGTGCATAAGATGGGACTTTCTATAATCTTGTCACTGTAAAGTTACCACATTTGCCTTTGTAATTAAAAAGTAATCTGTCGGGACACATTTTGAAACTACGTAATTATAGTGTTCTTCATCTAACTTTTTATAGTTTTAGCATCCATTTATGATTCTTCCACATTCCTTATTGTATTTATTAATTGTCTTTTTGCAGTTAGAACTGTTTCTTTTTTCTTTGTTTCTATCAGTGAGAACTCATTTATTTTATTGAGTAGGCTACTTGTTAATTATTTTGTTCTCTAAGGTTTGAGCATTGGTAGTCCTTTAATTTATATTTTTATATGACCTTATTACTCTTTGAGAAATTCTGTTTTTTTGGTTTGTTTTTTTGTTTGTTTGTTTGTCTGTTTTGCCACAGTAAAGTTCATCTTGTAGGCCCAGTGATGGAAATAACAATTTCTCCAAAGTATTATACTATAATTTATAGTATAAACTAAGATATGAACAGTTTTACTGGTTTGTTTCTGGAACCCACTGTTTAAAGAGCCTTGTAAATATACATTATATGGCATTATATATGTGCGTGTATAGTATATATTTTGTATATATTTTTCTATAAAAAATTTGTCCAAATATTTTATAAATGGACAAGACTAAGGAGGGATTGAAAATTAGGTGGGGAAGTAGAGGAACATAAGTGGGGTTATAGTGTATAGAAGAACCCAACTCATGGAAAAGAGCTCCAGTCTAGTGTGGCTTAAAGAAGAGATGCAAAACTAGAGAGCCAGGAATGGACCAGATTCATTGAGGAATTTATTTGCCCTCTGAAGGAACTCAATCTTTTAGAACAAGAGGAGTCATCATAGAATGTATGATTGGGTAAGGAATAATAATTTTTGTTAGATTTACATTTTAATATTCCTCTGTTGCTAGTGGCAATTCATAGAAGATAGATTAGATAAATGTTTAGAATTATTTTTCTGTAGAATTGGTATTTTTTTTAATTAAAGGACATTTGACTTATTGATTTATTTTCTTGTGGAATCACAGTAACTCAGGATTCAGTACTGTTCTCTGTGAATGATAACACAAACGAGTTACTCTAAACAGTGTTAAGTTGTATTTATACATGTATTATTTTTTAAGACAGGATCTCATTGTATAGTTCTGGGTGGCCTGGAATTGTCTCCAACTCATAGAGGTTCACCTCTGGAGTGCTGAGATTAAAGGAGTGTACCACCATGCCTGCCAAAACACTGTTAATTTTTCATGTAAAAATCTTGAGTAAGATATACTTGGTTTAATACTGTCAGTAATAGGGTTGATATAAACATTGTATAACAGACATTCTACCATGTTTACATACTAAAAAAAATAAGTATTGCCATGTTGTTTTTTGGAAATAACAAATTGTATCGTAGCATGAATTTTGCTGTTATCATAATAGATGTTATTACTGCCCTCTTTACAGCCTTTATCTCAACTAACTGGAACTGACCAGCAAGCAGCTCTTCAAAATCCAGATGTTGTTCGAGGGTAAGTATCATAATCTTAGTACCAGGAAATCAATGGTGGCATGCTGCTGCATGTATGCTTAGAGTGCATCGAATAAAGCAATATTTTTATTCTTGTACTTATGTGGCATTAGTAAAATTGGGATGAATTAATATCTTTCATTCTTTTAATATTTATAGTGATCATATAGATTGTGAAATTATTGATATTTTATTATTTTGTTTATAGTAGCCTGTTCTACAAAGTAAATGAAAAATTACAAGAAAATTTTCAGCTAATCTCAAAATAAATTATATCAAGACATGAAATTATTTTATTGGTGGATTTAAGATAGTCTTCTATATGTTATTCAGATTGGGTAATTGCTATTATTTTTTTCAAATTTATTGATATTTTTCTTGGGAACAAGAAAGAATTGTTCCATTCAATGAGATTTTATTCCTGTGAGTCTGTGTTTAGTTCTATAATTTCCATCTGGTTCTCTTTTAATCTTTTATTTCTCATTGCCTTTTTTTCCTCATTTGCTTCAAATGCAGTTGCAATTGCCTGTTGATGTTTTGATTTGTTTCATTTTGTTCTTTTCATTAGTGGGGATGGAGCCCAGGGTCCTTGCACATGCTAGGCCAGCACTTTATTACTTAGTTCTTTGCTGAAGTTTGCTTCCCAGTCCATGTTTTAATTTCTTTCTCCATTGTGCTTGGAGACCAAACCCAGGAATATGCATACTAGACAAGTACTCAATACTAAGCTACACCCTCGTTCACTGAATCATTTTGATTATGGATTGTGTTAACAATTCCAATATTTGATTTATCTTGGACTTTTAAACCTGTTATCTTTCTGAATTCAAGTTGTGGTTTTCCTGTTTGTTTGTTGTTGTTGTTGTTGGTTGATTGGTTTTTTTGTTTTGTTTTGTTTAGGTATGACAAGTATTTTATTTTTGTTTATATATTTAGGGTATTATGTAAAAATATTTTAGATTCTATTTAAATCTTTTGTTTTATTAAACAGTCCCTGTGTTTAGGTGCATGTGTTGTGGACCATTCTTATGGGCTGTGGATCTAATGAAAATTTAGCTTTAGAGTCCTTGTTATGTTCTGGTCTGCTTTGTTCACCTGTCATTATTGGATACCACCATGGAATCAAAGGGTATTTCCTCTAGGCCAGCTTTCTAGTCCACACTCCTTCAGATTCCATGGGAGAAGAAAGAGTCCATCTTTGGCTAATGGGCTAGAGGCCCATTGGGTTTTTGTTGTTTTTGCCTATATATGTAAGACTAAGCCTGATAACTTTCTGTCTTTGGGTATCTAATTGAGAGATGTCAAGCTACTGGGTTTTTTTTTCCAAGTCTTTGGGGTTCTTGACTAGTTTTAACTTTCATCTTTTTAGTCTTGGTTGCTCTCCTGTTATTTTTCTAGTTTATTATTTCCAGAAATTTTAAAGCTGTACTTGGGGGAAATGAGAAAGAAAAGTTGAGTTTCTGTTATCTTGTTCCAAAAGCTAGTATATATTTTTAGATTTATATATTTTATTATGTATATGAGTATTCTGCATGGATTTATTTGTACTACATATGTGCCTGATGCCCATAGGGGTCAGAGAAAGCATTGAATCAACTGGAGCTAAAATTAAAGATAGTTGTAAACTTTGGCTTCACATGTGAATGCTGGGAATTGAAAACAGGTCCTCTGCAAGAACAATAAGGACTTTTAACCACTGAACCATCTCTCTAGCCTTAAGCTAGTATTTTTTTTTGCTTTTTTTCTCTTTTTTATTTTAATTTTTATTAATTACACTTTATTTACTTTGTATCTCCCAATAAATCTCTCCTCCTAATCCCACCTTCCCTCCCCCTTCTCCACACATGCCCCTCCCCAAGTCCATTGATAGGGGAGGTCTTCCTCTCCTTCCTTCTGATCCTAGTCTATCAGGTCTCATCAGGAGTGGCTGCATTGTCATCTTCTGTGGCCGGGTAAGGCTGCTCCCCCCTCAGGGGGAGGTGATCAAAGAGCAGGCCAATCAGATTATGTCAGAGGCAGTCCCTGTTCCCATTACTATGGAACCCACTTGGACACTGAACTGCCATGGGCTACATCTGTGCAGGGGTTCTAGGTTATCTCCATCCATGGTACTTGGTTGGAGTATGAGTCTCTGGAAAGACTCCTGTGTTCAAATTTCTGGTTCTGTTGCTCTTCTTGTGGAGTTCCTGTCCTCTCCAGATCTTACTATTTCCCACTTCTTACATAAGATTCCATGCACTCTGCCCAACAGTTAGTTGGCCATAAGTCTCAGCATCTGCTTTGATAGTCTTAAGCTAGTATTTTATGGAAACATGTGTAGTATTGTCTCATGAGCTAAAATTTTATTCCTTTTATCTAATGATTATTACTTATTACTGTCATTTTTTTATATTTTAAGAACTCCAGGAGAAGGGAGTATTGGGAGGGTATGCTAGGGATGGACCCCAACCCTTGTATCTGCTGTTCAAGCACTGTAGCATTGAGCTACATCCTTAGCCATTATGAGTGTTAATGTGTAATCTTTTACCATTTGTACTTACGTATATTCTTTTACATACAGACATAGAAAAAAATAAGTTTTTGTTTTTAATCCCTTTTTGTACATTTCTACAGAGATGGTTCATGAGTTCTTGGAAGAAAGAACTCACCAAAAAATAAAAGATTTTTCTTTGTTTAATTTTTATTTTTATATTAATTACAGTTTATTCACTTTGTATCCCAGCTGTAGCCCCTTCCCTCATTCTCTCTTAATCCTACCATCCTTCCCTCATTTTCTCTCATGACCTTCCCCCAGTCCACTGATAGGGGAAGCCCTCCTCCCCTTCCATCTGACCCTAGCCTATCAAGTCTCATCAGGACTGGCTGCTTTGTCCTCCTCTGTGGCCTGGTAAGGCTGCTTTCCCCTCAGGAGGAGGTGATCAAAGAACTAGACACTGAGTTCATGTCAGAGACAGCCTCTGTTCCCCTTACTATGGAACCCACTTGGACACAGAGCTGCCATGGGCTATATCTAAACAGGGGTTCTAAGTTATCTCCATGTATGGTCCTTGCTTGGAGTATCAGTCTCAGAAAAGACCCCTGGGCCCAGATTTCTCAGTTTGTTGCTTTCCTTGTGGAGCTCCTGTCCCCTCCAGATCTTCTTTCATAAGATTCCTTGTACTCTGCCCAAAGTTTGGCTATAAGCCTCAGCATCTGCTTTGATACTTTGCTGGGTAGAGTCTTTCAGAGGCCCTCTGTGGTAGGCTCTTGTCTTGTTCATTGTTTTCTCCCTCTTCTGATGTCCATTCCATTTGCCTTTCAGAGTGAGGATTGATCATCGTACCCAGGGCTCTCCTTCTTGCTTAGCTTCTTTAGGTATACAGATTTTAGTATGTTTATCCTATATTAAATACTGACCCACTTCTAAATCCCAAGCTCTGTGACACTTAGAAGCTCATGGCTTCAGAATCACTTTCTGGATAGGGCTAACGCAAATGTCACTTATAAAGCAGTCACAAATCATTTTTATGGAAACAAAAAAAAAGCAAAACTGTCCAGAATGGCTTTCAGTAAGCCCATCACTAAACTGCTTAGTGGTCTAGAAGGCCATGGAGACTTGCTGCTGTTACAGAAGGTACTTAGTGCAGAACATTGCTGGAGCCGTTTGGTTTGATCTGAGCAAGATACCTATGCGTCTTGAATTTGTTAGAAAACTCAATACTAGTATAAACCTTAAAAAAATAAATTCTTGTCAAAGAGGAAGTAAAAAAAAAAAAAAACCTAACCACAACTAATCATTCTAAACCATTTTTATATCATTCATTTTCATTATTTGCTTTACATCCTACATTATTTGTATCTCCTACACTTAGTCTGCTTCTCCTTTGCTGAGTAAGAATTTTTGGAGTAAGAATGTACATTCATTTTAGAAGCTTCATTTTATTGTATTAGTAATCTCTAAACAAGAAAAATTGATCAAGACTGTCTCCTCAATTAAAAAAAGAGTATCCCTTAATCTTAATAAATTATTTCATAGAGGCCTATGACTGACAGTTTTTCTTTATTTTTATTCCTGTGATAAAAATGTATAGCAAATATATATGCTATATCATTTTTTATAACTTTCAAACACAGCTTTATTGAAATATAATTTGTAGGACTGGAGAGATGGTTCAGCAGTTAAGAGTACTAGCTGCTCTTCTGGAGGGCCTGGGTTCAGTTCTCACCACCTACATAATGGCCACAACTATGTGTAACTCCAGTCCCAGAGGATCAGATACCCCTTCTTGGCCTCTGTGGGCACAGCATGCACATGGTACACAGACATACGTGCAGGCTTTTACACATGTAAAATAAAAAAATAATAAATATTTAAGAAAAATACAGTTTATCATACAGTTCTCCCATTTAACTTGTATGATTCAATGGTATTAAGTGTATTAACAGAGTTATATAATCATAACTTTTATAAAGATATTACATGGGCTGATTTTCTTTTAACTTATAATTTTATAATCCTAAGTTTTCTTTAGATGTTTATTATCAAGATTGAAATGAGTTCCTCTTTTTTTTTTTTTTTAATCAGTAGCTTGAATCAGGATGTGACAGCTATGAAAGAAAACACCAATAACCCTGATAACCCAAGTGGGAATGGCAAACTGGATCGGATCAAGCAAAGAAGAACCTCCTGTCCCAGGCCAGAGAAGGCAACTAAATTTCAACTTACCGTTCTTCAGGTCAGTGTGTGTATGGCTGGATTAGATTTCATGTAGAAGCCTTGGAGGCTTAGGAAGGAGCAGTGCTATGGAAGTAAATGCAGAATATTGTGAAAAGGAAGACCATAAAATTCCTGTAATCACAAACTAGAGTTTATTCATTCTATCATTTTAGTTTTTATATTTTTTTCTGTATGTATTGTAGTGTTTCACATTTTAACATTGTTATAGTGTGAGTAATGTTAGCAAAAATATATTGAATTATTTTGTGGTAGGTGTCCCAAGTCTATATACTATTTTTATCATTATCCTCCAAAGCTTTATATGATATAATAGTATACACATCATTACAAATAAAGATTTTCAAGACGAGAGAATTAATTTTCATTAAACCATTCAACTACCAAATGCTAGAGTCAGATTTGAAGCTGGATCAGACTTTAAAGCCTGTATCGCTAATTAATATAATAAATGTTTCAGATGGATTTCAAAACCTGTATACAGTTTTACATCCTTTCCTTTTGAAAGCTTAATATATTATGTACATATTTTTAATACCAGTAAATAATTTGAATAATATTTTTAAATGTCTTCAATACATAGTCCCTTATACAGAGATATAATTTAATTATCCTTTTCCAGTTCTTCCTTTAGGTTCGTTCTGTAACTGTTGCTGAATATGTTGTATGTGAGCTCATCTAGTTACTCCTTGTAAAAATGCTGTGATTATTGTTTTTAGACAGGGTCTGATAATAGCTTAGGCTTGCCTCAGGTATACTATATAGCCAAGGGTAACCCTAAATTTCTAGTCCTCCTGCTTTCACTTCCCAAGTACTGGGAGTACAGATGTGTACTGTCATGATTGGTTTATGCAGTGCTGGGGATGAAACCCAGTGCTTTGTGCATGCTAGGCAAGCACTCTACCAACTGTTTTCCATCCTTAACCAAGAAAGCTTCTCTTACACTGGTTAAATGTGTGCACTTAGGTATCAGTCTCTGGAGACAACATGGTAGAGTGTCAGCTGGAAACACACAACAACAAGATGGTCACGTTCAAGTTTGATGTTGATGGTGATGCACCTGAAGATATTGCAGACTATATGGTAAGAATATTAAAACAGAACTATTTTTCCCATAGTGTATTCACTCTCTCCTCTTTCTTCCTCCCTCATTCCTTCTTTTCCTCTCTGTTTTCTCTCATTGATTCATTTACACCCATCTCTTGATAGAATGTGTGAAGGGTTTTTTTGTTGTTGTTGTTGTTTTTTAATTTGCACAGGGGAAAATTGGTTATAATCAGGATGTTACTGCATTTCTTCTGGTTTTACTGTATGTATCTGAGGAAATATGAAGGTTTTTTTTTTTTTTAGATTGATGTGTTTCAGTCTCTATGTTGAGATAATATTAGAAGCTTTAAATGATAATCTCAATGGATAGTCACCTGATTAAATCAGAATCAAGCCACCTAGGTGATTTTAATGTGTCTAACATTCTGCACAGAAGTATTCAGGTTCTGCTTTTCAGTATATTTAGGTTTTTTTTTTCCTTAATGTGTGAATATGCTGTTGTATGTGGTATATGTACATATTTGTGTTGGTATGTGCATGGAGTACAGGGGATATCTGGTGGTCTCCTCAGCTGCTCTCTGCTTTATTTCTTTATGATATATGTGAATGTGGTGTTTGTGTATTTCGTGTTTATGCAAGGGTATGTTCAGGTATGTGCACCCTTATCCATACCTGCAGAGGCTAGAGGGCAACTTCAGGTGTCCTTCTCTGTTATTCTCTGACTTACTCTTTTTAGACAAAATCTGTTCCTGATCCTGATGCATTTGTGTTTCAGGTAGGCTGGCTTCCAGCAAGCCCAAGAGATCTTCCTGTCTGCCCACACTGCTGGGGTTACAGGCTTATATGAGGTCATGCCAAGCCTGTTATATGGATGCTGGGATCTAAACTCAGGTTTTCATGGTTGCTTAGCAGACACTCTTAACCACTGAGCAATCTACCTTATTTTTTTGAGACATGGTCCCTCACTGAATCTATAGCCCATTGATTCAGCTAGACTGGCTAGCCAGTGAGTTTTAGAAATCTTCCTCTCTACCACCCACAACCTTATCCCCCCATACTGGGATTACAGATGCACACCACCATGGCTGGCTTTTTATATGTGTGCTGCAGAGTCAAACTCAAGTTCTTATACGTATACCCAGGCACTTTACCAACTGAGTTATTTACCCAAACCTTTTAGTTTTTTTTTTAATAGCTTTAATACTTAGTCTCAGGTTGATATTTTTCTCTTTTTTGGTACAGATAGGGATAGGGGGCATAAAGAATACAGAATGCATTATTTTTTATTAATGGCTTAATAAATTAATAGTTTGCCCATTGTACATCTATCCTAACATTGAATTTTCTGTTATGTCTGGTATGTATTTTATTTTCTATTTCTCATTCATATTTAGTATAATGGACAGCCACAAATCTTAGGTGTTGTTTTCATGTTCTTATTTAGAAAGCTCGTAGGTTTGGGCATTCCTAATTTTAAAAATTGCCTCAGTTACATTCTTATCATGTTGTTTTTTGAGACAGGGCCAAATTAAATAGGCTTAGCTGTATTTGAACTTACTATGTAGTCTAGACTGATCTTGAGCTGTCATTCTGCCTTAGCCTTCCAAATGCTAAAATCATGCATGTATATCACTAGCCCCTGCTGCCTTACATATAATACATACTTTAAATAACACCTAATTTTTATAATTTTTTTTTTACTGAAAAAAAAAAGATTTTCCACACAATATATTCTTCTGATCATGTTTTTCTGTCCCTCAGATCCTCCTCACCTTCTTACCCATCCAACTCCATGCCTTCTTTCTCTCTCTTTAGAAAACTAGGTATAGGGCATACCCTTAAGTGTGGTTTCTATACATACCCAGTGAAATGATATTAGAGAAAACTGAAATCTTTCCTTTGTTAAGTGGATGTCAATTGGAGATATCTTCCTGGTTAGGATGTGGGCTTGTGTCCACTTCCCCCTCCAAGTGCTGGGACCCCTTTTGGCTTGGACCTGTGCAGGTCCTGTGTATGCTTCCACCATCTCACTTAGTATATGTGCCAGTCCTGTGATGTCCAGAAGACACTGTATCCTTGCTGTCATCAGTCCTTTCTGGGTCTTACAGTCTTTCTACTACTTCTTCCACATAGCTCCCTGAGCCCTAAATGGTCAGGGTTTGATGAAGACATCCCATTTTAGACTGAGTGTTCCAAGGTCTCTCATTCTGTGTTCATTGTTCAGTTGAAATTACAGCCAATTTATAAAACAACTGGTCTTAATTATTTTTGTGGCACATATTTTTTTTTGTTTTCCAATGGAATTCCCCATTAAAATATCATAATTTTGAAGAAAATGAATTTATTTTCATGAATACATTGGCTTTTACTTGATGGCAGGTTGAAGATAACTTTGTGTTGGAAAATGAGAAGGAAAGATTTGTAGAGGAACTGAGGGCTATTGTAGGTCAAGCCCAGGAAATCCTTCATGTCCATTCAGCTGCAGAAAAATCTACTGGTGTTGATTCTGTTGCTGTGGAATCCAGCAGTAACCAAGTAAGAGCACTTTTTTTGTAAGAAGGTCATTTGGGAGACTTTGTCAGGAACATCATCATTTACCTGTTCATTTTTATTTCAGGCAGGGTCATCTGAACAAGTACTGATAAATTCTGCATCCACTCAAACAAGCAGTAAGTATACTTAATAAAATCTACCATTTGGCTTTTGGAACAAAGTATTTTGGAGTCTTGATATACGTTCATAGAGAAAGATATTAGCCAATAAATTGATTTTATAATAAATTGATGTTTTTCCACACTTGAAAGAAATTTATAGCCTAGATATTTAAAAATAATGTTGATTCTTTATGCAAGTAATTTACTTCTGAGTTGTTACATGATATGTAACCAGAAAGGGCAGTAACAGTGATGATGACCTTTGATAGTGATGATGACCTATATGAATCGTAACTGGTAATTTGTTTACTTTGACATGAGATAAACAGAAGTATTTTAACTAAAATCATTATGTTCTAAGTTTGCATCATGTTTGAATTGTCCTTCAGATCTTAACTGTCTCATTGATGATAATACACTAATAACTTTGTAAGTCAGACACCAGATAAACTTCCAAAAACTAAAATTGGGGTTCTTCTGTTTTCTTTTCTGACAACTTTATCTCTTCATTCTTCTTAGCCCTGGTCATGGGTATTTTAAGAGTGTCTGGGAGGGGGAGAAGAACCATAGCATCATGAAGGAAGACCTCTGAAGGAATTAACACAACATGAAGAAGCAAAAGGTGGTGTGGGAATAATGGAAGCAGATACCATTATCCTGAAATTTAGTTCAACTGTATTAGGATGCCAGAGTACATCTGTATCTTACTTTGTTGGTTAGCAGAAATCTGAGCAAGTTTCTGACTGACAACGTAAGGTAAAGTTCCAAAGAAAATTATTTGAGAAAGTTTACAGATATAGGGATTTGTCTTATTTTACTTTTATATTGCCATAAGCTGGATTTACTTCTTTTTCTTCTGGTGAATAGTTCCGTAAAATTTAATGCTTGTATGGATATATACCACCATGTTACCACTTAGGCAGCACCATAATCAGGTTGCAGAATGGCAGTTATAAATTTGAATGGAGAACTATGCCCCCAATTATTTAAATAGAGTGCCTTATTTCTGGTTAGTATTAATGGATACCTTATATTTAGTTCTATAGGCTATTTGTCAAGGTTGAGATGTATCTCTTGTGGTTTATAATTATCCTTGTACTGTTGGAAATGGAGATACACAAGCTAATTTTTAACTTGATTTTTTTATTTAATAATGTGAACAAATTGACAGTGTATAATTTGTTGATAATTCTTTCTACAGATGAATCTGCACCTCAATCATCCCCAGTTGGTCGCTGGCGATTTTGTATCAACCAAACAATAAAAAATTGTGAGGCACAGTCTCCTCCTTCCCTTCAGCCATCCTTGACAACAGTGCATGGGTTACAGTCAATTCCTAGTAAGCTTTGTTGTCTGCCAGCTTTATATGGACTTGCATGATATGGTTACAGATTAATTTGTTTTTGCCTATCATTTATCCTTATGACAGTTTTCATGAGCATTTTAGAAGAAATTAACATTGTTATGTAACAAGTCATTTTATTCAGTGTTTGCAAAAGAAAAAAACCCAAGAAGTCATTTTTATAAGAGTACACTTTATATACTCTTAAATAGGTTCTTATTTGCCTCTTGATTTTCTTGTCCCTTTTGAGTTTTGTTTGCACTTTGTACTCATCACAACTTAGCTACTCTTTTGTTTTTCTTTCAGGTTCAAGTAACACAAATAATCAGGAAATATCACAGGACACACTGTTCACGATAGAGAATAATCCAGGCCAGCGTGAACTTTTCACCCCCAAATCAGAACATGAGGATATGGTTGATGGTAAGATTTCTGAATGTGCTAGTTTAGAAACTGAGCAGCCAAGTATTCTCTATCAAGTGGAAGATGACAGGCAGTTAATGGCACCAGCTACTGATAATTCCAGTTATTCTGCTACTTTGGTGCATCCAGTTCCAGTTGAATGTGAGGCACTCACCAGCCAAGCAGATATGTCCATACCTACATATCCATGTCAGCAAGCTGCCATCCTGACTGATGTGCTTATGGATCATCCTAGCGATTTAGTTCAGACTGGTGGCAATGCTGTTCTAACTTCAGCGGTTGTATCATCTGATCAAGAGCCTCAATCTTTATCAGTTCAGGAGCCAACTGCAGATGTAGAGCTTGTTTCCTTAGAAGGAGAAACCACAGGACACACTGAAACAAATTCTCCTAAGGCAGTCATTTCCACTCACACTTCTGGCTTTGAACCAGCTACCCTTCAACCTGCTACTATCCTGGAATCAGATGGGGAACGACCTCCAAAAATGGAGTTTGCGGACAACCGAATTAAAACACTGGATGAAAAATTAAGAAACCTGCTCTATCAGGAGCACAGCATTTCTAACATCTGTCCTGAGAGTCAGAAGGATACTCAAAGCGTAGACTCTCCATTTTCTTCCTCTGCTGAAGATATACTATCTTATCCGATGCCAGAAGTCATAGCTGTCAGTCACTGTGAGACTCAAGATAGCCCTGCACAATCCCCGAATTTCCAACAGGCAGGCTCTAAGAGTCTGTCCAATGTGGCTGCAAATCAGCCTGATCATATATCAGTGTTCAAAAGAGACTTGAATGTGATAACTTCTGTGCCCAGCGAGTTGTGTTTACATGTAAGTATCTGTCTAATTCATATTCTTTGTTTATGAATTTCAAGAAAGGCCCTCATTCTTAAAGGGTTCAAAGTAACTGTCATTTAAGACTATGACTTCAGCTGCAGCTACTCAGAACTTAGTAGTAATGGCAGGTCTGTCCTGGGTCTATCTAAAAGAGCCTTCTTTTGAATTAGCTTGGAATTTATAAGCATGTGTATATTTATAGACTTTGTGGACAGGAGAAACATACTTTTTGATTAGGTAGAAACAGCAAAAATCATCCATAATCACGTGACTTTTTTTCTTAACCTCTAAAAGGACCAGAAATACAGTTTAGCGGTAGAGTGCTTGCACCTGTATCTCAAACAGTAGAACATTTAACTAAGATATCTTGTCCTAGCATTAAAGAAATAGAGTCTAAAGATCTAAAGTCCAAAATCATCTTCAACTACATATTGAGTTTGAGGCAAATCTGCACTACATGAGTCCTTGTTAAAAAACAATAAATAAAATGTAAGGCGGGCTCATAGGTCCCAGCCACTGCCTGTTGAACTATTGGCTACTAATAAATTCTAGGAAAGAGATAGTCATTGTCTTCAGTTATGTAATCAACGGTGAGCCTACCAGGTTCCAGTGAAAAGTCTCAAACATATATTGACACAGATGGTACCGATTAAACTCAGTGGTTCACAAAATAAATGTAGATATGAATGTGGGAAAGGAACTTGTTGGGAGGAAAGGAGTTAATGGAGATAGGAGGGAGATGGGGGAGTAATTAGAAGTCATTACACACATGTATAAATTTATCAAAGAATAAATGTAATTACCAAAGAAAATAGAAATAATTTTTTTAAAGAGAGAAGAAACAGAAGGAAAAATAATTGTAGAATAATTGGGATTTAAAAATCACAAGTTTTCTAGATTTTAGAGTCTCTGAATTTTAGAATATTTATAATACCAAATGTGATATGTTGGGGCTGGTATCCAAATCTAAATACAGAAGTTATTTATGTTTCTTATATATTTATACACAGAGACTCAGACAATTTTATATAGTATTATTGATGCACCTTCATTTTAATTACATTAGATGAGGTTGGTCACATGTAGAATTTTCTACTAACAGGATCGTGCTGATAATGAGAATGTTTCAGGTTTTAGATTTTAAGGTTTTTTGTTTTGTTATTTGTTTGTTTGTTTATTGAGGCAGGGTGTCTCTGTGTAGACCTGGCTGTCCTAGACTCAATTTGTAGATCAGGCTGGCCTTGAACTCACAGTGATCTGCCTGCCTCTTCCTCCCTGAGTGCTGGGATTACACGTGTGTGCTACTCCTTCTGGCTGGATTTTAGGTTTTTATTGAGATTTCTCACCTATATAACATAGTAACTTTAATATTCTCTTTATTTTCTTTTCATGTCTTTTTTTTTTTTTAAAGTATTGGTCATTAAGTTCAGGAATGAAACCACATGCTATGCAAGTGCTGTATCTATCACTGAGCCACACTCCTAGCCCTATTTTCCTTTTCTACCTTTTCAGTCACAGAAGCAACTAATAAATTGCTGCTTGTCCTCCTTGACTTTCCTTAAGCCTGCATAGATCTATTTACATGTGTATCACATGTTTGTCCAAAATAATATTGTATTATAAACACATTGGTCAACAAACTGAAATTCTTCATTTTACCACACACTGTGAATATCTTTCTAAATATTTACCACTGTAATTTTTGTCATTGTTACTGTACAAATAATATGTACTTGTGTGTAAAGGAAAATCTGTTACATGCCCAAACCTGTAAACATAGCTGTTAGCTTTTCCAGATATGGTTTTAGTTAATGTTTGAATATTTATAGCAACATAATTCTGCATATGTATTATGTTTTAGACATAGATGCATGTTATATTTATCTATATATACTTTTTTAGGTATATGTGCTTTTCATTTCTTAAATTTTTTAAACTATTTCAAGTTATAGAATTAATTTGTAAGCACAAAAACATTTCAGAAGAATAGCAACTCTAAACAACTTAACACTTCCTAAACAATTTTCTTATTGTAGTTTCTGTGGCCATTATCACTAATAACTTGTCCCTCTCTTGATTTAGTAATTGTATATTTGGGTTTTGTTTTTGTTTTTGTTTTTGTCTTTTTTAAAGACTGGGTTTCACTATGTAGCTTGAAGCTGGCGCGGAACTGATTACCTTGCTGTTAAATAGCATGTACTCCTTATAATTCAGTTACCTCTTTTTTTATATTGCTAGATTTATATTTATAGTTGGATTTATATTTGCTCACAATGCCAACTTTAAACTAAGATGGTTGCCATATTGATTTTTCATAATTGTTTTTTTTTAATTTTTATTAATTACACTTTATTCATTTTGTATCCCCCCATAAACCCCTCCTTCCTCCCCTCCCAATCCCACCTTCCCTCCCACTTCTCTACTCATGCCCTTCCCCAAATCCAGTGATGGGGGAGTCTTCCTTTCCTTCCTTCTGATCCTAGTCTATCAGATCTCATCAGGAGTGGCTGCATTGTCATCTTCTGTGGCCTTGTAAGACTGCTTCCCCCTCAGGGGGAGGTGATCAAAGAGCAAGCCTATCAAATTATGTGAGAGGCAGTCCCTCTTCCCATTACTATGTAACCCACTTAGACACTAAACTGCCATGGGCCACATCTGTGCAGCGGTTCTAGGTTATCTCCATGCATGGTACTTGGTTGGAGTATGAGTCTCAGGAAAGACCCCTGTGCTCAAATTTCAGTTACCTCTTAAAAGGTCTCCCTGATTCTACTTCCCAAAGCCTCACAGTGGGGATTAAATTTTAATATGATTTTTATGGGAACATTCAAACTATAACAAATTCTTTTTTGGGTTCTTCATTGTTTAGTATATAAAAATACAACTGCCTGCCTTCCTTTCTTTTCTTTTTCTTTCTTTCTTTCTTTCTTTCTTTCTTTCTTTCTTTCTTTCTTTCTTTCTTTCTTTCTTTCTTTCTCTTTCATTCTTTCTTTCCTTTCTTAAGACAAGGTATCGGCTCTGTAGTCCAGGTTAGATTCAAACTCATGGCATTCTTCCTACCTCAACCTTCATAGTGCTGGGATTATAGATGTGAACCACCCCTCTTAGTTACAACTTAACTTCCATGTGTTATAATGTTACCTTGAACTTTGCTGACTCTTGTTTATTGGCTCTTATGGAATTTTCTTTTTCTATTGTGTGTGTGTGCATAAATGAGTACATATGGAGGCCAGGGGTTGATAAGAGTTGTTGATCACTCCTTACCATGTGTTTCGTTGTGGCTAGATCACTGGTTTGACTAGCATAGCTAGATATTTTGCTCAGAGGATCTGGACTCAGTTCCTCATGCTTTCATAGCAAGTACTTTACCCATTGAGCCATCTCCCAGCCCTGAATTGTCTCTTTTTCTGTTTAACACAGGGGCTCTCACTGTGTAGTTCATGCTGGCCTCAAACTCACAGGCAGCCACTTGCCTATGTCTTCTGAGTGCTGGGATTAAAAGTGTATACCACAATGCCAAGCTTTGGGTTTTCTGTGTATAAAATTTTATCATCTGTAAATAAAGATAATTTTATTTGTTCATTTCCTATTTTTCTCATATATTAACTTTTTTATGTCATGCTTTCCTCTCTTTGTCTCTCTGCCTTGTGTAATGAGATAGTTTCTCTTCTGTTTGGTCATCTATTTGGACATTTTGCATTGAGGACTGCATTTTTAAATTTCTAATAACTGTAGTCCATTCTTCACTTTTTTAGTATTTATATTTAATTTTATGTATATGCATGTATACCTGATATGAATGTATGTGCACCATGTGTATGCAGGAGCCCACAGAGGTCAGAACAGGATTTCAACCTAGAGTTACAGATAGCTGTGAGCCACCATGCTCTTGGAACCATACCTGGTTGCCCTTTATCACTGAATTCCCTCTCCTTCACCAAGTTTAGTGTTGGCTTTCAGTGTTAGTTTTAAGTTTTGTTAACTTTTAGTTCTGTGTTCAGTTTCCCTGTAAGATTCTTTATATGTCCATAAGTGCTATTATATATTTATGTAGATGCCTTTTAATTGTTGGGAGAAAAACATCGGACATACTTTTTTTATGCTGCAGTAGCTAGTCTATAAAGGCAGCGGGGCTTACCCTTCCTCTGAGGTGCTGTCTTTGTCCCTCATTGACTTTTCTCTCAGCCAAAATCCTTTGCTTCTTTGTACTCTTATTTTGAGAGCAGGTCCGCTACTGTTTTTTGCTTGATGTGGAGAGAAAGGATGTGGAATGGCTGTTCTTTCTTTCTTTCTTTCTTCCATTCATTCTTTCTTTGTTCTTTCTTTGGTACTTCAACCAGTATACTCTTCCATTCAGCAACTGTCTTTTGAGTAGTAAGTCAAAATTTCTTCTTACAAAGTTAACATTCTAGTACTTAACAGTCTGCTGATAATAGAAAGGGCTATGACAAATTAGAAGATTGCCCAAATGAAGTGATCAAGGAAAAACTTATACATAGTGGTGACATCTTCAGGTAGACATTTATTCAAGGAATCAAAAGAAGGCCAGTTTAGTAGAAGGATGTTTCAAAATGGAATACACTGAAAAGACAGGAGAACCGTTGGGTGGAATTGTGTAAGCATCCCTTTCATTGGTCAGGTTTCTCTGCTGCTTCTCATATATGCCACCTGGGTGTGTCGTCTCTTGAGACAGTTCCTACATGTATTACAGTCCTCCTTTTCTTTCTGTAATCATAAGTTCTTACTTATATATCAGGTTTTCTTGCTGTTGTTGTGTCTAAGTATTTCTCTTGATCAGGAATACAAAAGTTTATAGTAAATAAGCCATCTCATTTTATTCACTACATATAGATATTTCAATTATAATTTCAATGGGATCATTGCAGTACTTTCTGAAAGGTAGTATTTTTACAATTTTTTAATTTTTATTTTTTATATTAATTACAGTCAATTCACTTTGTATCCCAGCTGTATCCCCCTGCCTCCCTCCTCCTCTCCCAATCCCACCCACCCTCCTTCATCTCCTCCTATGCCCCTCTCCAAGTCCACTGATAGGGAAGATCTTCCTCCCCTTCCATCTGACCCTAGCTTATCAGGTCTCATCATTACTGGCTGCGTTGTCTTCCTCTGTGGCCTGGTAAGGTTGCTCCCTGCTCTGGGGGAGGTGATCAAAGAGCAGGCCAATCAGTTTATGTCAGAGGCAGTCCCTGTTCCCCTTACTAGAGAACCCACTTGGATACTGAGCTGCCATGGGCTACATCTGTGCAGGGGTTCTAGGTTATCTCCATGCATCATCCTTGGTTGAAGTATCATTCTCAGAAAAGACCCCTGTACCCAGATATTTTGACTCTGTTGCTATCCTTGTGGAGCTCCTGTTCTCTCCAAGTCTTTCTATCTCCTGCTTCTTCCCTAAGATTCCCTGCATTTTTCCCAAAGTTTGTTTATGAGTCTCATTATCTGCTTTTATACAGTGCTGGGTAGAGTGTTTCAGAGGCCCTCTATGGTAAGCTCCTGTCCTGTTTCCTGTTTTCTCCTTCTTCCAATGTCCATCCTATTTGCCTTTCTGAGTGAGGATTGATCATCTTACCCAGAGTCCTTCTTCTAGCTCACCTTATTTAGGTGTTCAGATTTTTGTAGGTTTATCCTGTATTATATGTCTAGTATCCACTTATAAGTAAGTATATACCATGTGTGTCTTTCTGTTTCTGGGATACCTCACTCAGGATGATCTTTTCTAGATCCCACCATTTGCCTGCAAATTTCATGATTTCCTTGTTTTTAATTGCTGAGTAGTACACTTAAAGAAATGCTCAACATCCTTAGCTATCAGGGAGATACAAATCAAAATGACCCTGAGATTTCACCTTATACCCATCAGAATGGCTAAGATCAAACAATCAAGTGACAACACATGCTGGAAAGGATGTGGAAAAATGGGAACCCTCCTCCATTGCTAGTGGGAATGTAAACTTGTACAACCACTTTGGAAATCAATCTGGCACTTTCTCAGACAATTAGGAATAGTGCTCCCTCAAGATCCAGCTATGCCACTCCTAAGCATATATGCAAAAGATGCTTAAGTATATAACAAGGACATTTGCTCAACCATGTTTGTAGCAGCTTTATTCGTAATAACCAGAGCCTGGAAACAACCCAGATATCCCTCAGCTGAGGAATGGATACAGAAATTGTGGTACATTTACACAATGGAATGTGGAACTGGAAGCTCAAGGACAGCCTCAGTTACATAACACCTTGTATCTACTGAACTGAAGAAATAATATTTTCAGTCATTTGGCACATATAAAAAATAACTTATTTAAAAGTTAAGTTTTCAAAGTTGGTGTAATGATAATAAATATTTTAGCCTGGAAAATTAATATTCTCTTTTATTTAATCTGAAGATATAACAGTTCCAAAGAAATGTCAAGACTTCCGTTTCAGCCTGATATGTTACTGTTACTGCAACACTGCATAGTGAACTGGTTATGGTCTGTTATTAATCCTTATAAGAAACTCTAATATACCAAAAAAAGTATTTGCATTACCTAAATGATTACCATTTTATTTTATTTTTGTTTTTGTTTTTGTTTTTGTCTCTATTAGGAGATGTCCCCAGATGCTTCACTTCCAGGGGATCCAGAGGCCTATCCTGCTGCTGTGTCAAGCGATGGAACCATTCATCTGCAGACAGGAGGTGGATATTTTGGCCTAAGCTTTACTTGTCCTAGTCTCAAAAATCCTATTAGCAGGAAATCCTGGACTCGAAAATTAAAAAGCTGGGCATACAGGCTACGGCAGTCAACCAGCTTTTTCAAGAGATCAAAAGTCCGTCAAGGTAGTGTGCTTACAGTCAGGGACATAGACTAGGTAACATCATTTTTCATCTGCTTTTTTTTTTTTTTTTTTTTTTTTGTCGCTCATACTCAAATCTTGCCATGTTTTTCATGTAGCTCATGTTTGTTAAATACCCCATTAATGTTGTTGCCATTTTATTTTTTCCTTTTGTAACTAATTGGTTTTTCAGTTTTTCATTTCATATAGATTGGGATAAATCTTGCAATGCCTGATTTAGAGTTAGGGATTTAAACAATGTTGCTTATGCATTAACACCTTTTAATTATCTAGCAAGGGCTAAACTTTTTTCTGCTTTTCTTCAGTTTTGATAATGTAAACAAATTTGTCTTAAAAATGATTTTCTCTTTTTTACTTATAATTTGACAAACCTTACAGTGGGAACAGAAGATAAACGATCAGCAATTGTTCCTGATTCCATTCCACTGACACAGGAGTTCTCAGCTGACACTAGGGCTTTGAGTAGATGTAAAACGATGCGTGGATCATTTCAACAGGGTCGGTTCCAGGTTTGTGTCTTTGGTTTACTTTATCATTGGGCACCTTATGAAAGAGAACAAACTGCAGGGCTGAAGATGGAGATTTATGATAGTTGGCCCATCATCTGTGAGATCCTGGATTCTATCCTCAACAAAAAATGACAGCATTTGGAGTTGATCTGTAGATGATCCTTAGTTCAGCTGTATATCATTATATAACTAATTTGTTTATCTTGGTTATAGCTTTTCAACTTTAGAAAGCTATAATTAACAGTGAACCTAAGGAATATAAGGATTTTAGTAGTTGCAAAAGATCACAGAAATAGATCATCATTTTGGGGTCTTCATTTTTTTCAAATTAATCTCCTTTTTTTGATTTACTGATTTTATTCATGTGGAGGGTTGCTATACGACATGTGAGGCTGCCCACAGAGGTAGAAGAGATTCCTGGGAGCTAGAGTTACAAATAGTTGAGAGCCACCATATAGGTGATGGATACCATACCCAAGTCCTCTGCAAAGCAACAAATACTGTTAAATTCTGAGCCATCTCTCGTGTTCTTTAGAATCTCAGCAAATTTCATAGTGGGATTTTCTTTGAGTAACATGAAGCTAATCTGTCCAAGGGCCCCAGCTAAAGGACTGACTATAAGCAGTATAAGTTTTAGTATTACCCAAGTATTATATATGCTAAATCAGCCCTTTCACTTGTCTATGCTGTGTTTTGATGGTGAATTTTTTCATGGGGTTCTACCTAATTTACCCTATGATTAGGTAGAACCAGACACATTTACCTTTTTATGTCTCAGGTGATTACAGTTCCTCAGCAACAGCCAGTGAAAATGACATCTTTTAGAAAAGAACATAGACCACCATTCAAGAAGGCAACAGTCCAATCTAGTGAGGAAGCACTAGCCTTTGCTGAAGCTGCAGTGCTGCCTTTGGTCGAAGTGGAACCTTCCATACCCACTCCAAAGGCTTCAGTTTCTTCACGAAAGTTACGAACTCTTTATGAAACCTTTAAAGAAGAAAAAGAAAATCCTGAACAAGAGGACATCTTATCTTTGAGCACAGCTAGTGAGCCCATGACTACAGAAAAGAATATGGAAGAAACTTCAACCACAAGAATTAGTGTGTCATCTGGGTCTAAACCCTTAGATAAAGAAAAAGAGGAATTGATTCCTGGGAAACAGCCATGTACTAAGAAATTTTCATCCACTCTTCCTGGTAAAGAAAAGTCAGTGGCCAAAACTGGTCCAAAGAGTGATCAGTATTTACCACTCCATGAAGAACAAGCCTGTGCTCAAACACAGAGTTCACACTTCTACTCTCCATCTTCCCCAATGAGCAGTGATGATGAATCAGAAATTGAGGATGAGGACTTGAAGGTGGAGCTTCAAAGATTACGAGAAAAGTAAGGATGCTTTCTCTTCTGTAACACATATAATTGTTTATGGGTTATATAATTTAATATTTGCCTTGTAGCAATTTTAAGATTGGTGGCATTTTAATGATTAAAGCTTTTCTGATTAAAAACTATAATGAATGCTATTATAAAATGTTTATGAATACTAAAGTCATTTTGTGTAAAATTATTTTAGTTTTTATAATTGTTTTATGTGTTTGGGTGTTTTGCCTGCTTGTATGTCTGTGTGTGCAGTGCCCATGAAGGCCAGAAGAGGTTGTTTAATATTCCCCTAGAACTGGTGTAACAATTGTTAGCTGCTGTGTGGGTGCTGGGAATTGAACCCAGGTCCTCTGGAAGAATAATCCAGTACTCTTAACTGTGTGCCATCTCTCCAGCTCTTTTTTTTGTGGGGGTTGTTGGGGACATAAGACAGGGTTTCATTGTATAGTTCTGTACTATGTAGTTCTGCCTGGCCTGGAATAATACCATGGCTAATCCATGTTGACCTCAAACTTGTAGTGATTCCTCCTGCTTCTGCCTCTTCATGCTGGTATTACAGGCACATGCCAAGATCTATTGACCTTTTTTGCTTTTTCAGTCCTTGTTCTTTAGCAGTCTTGGAATAAGAATTTACAACTATTCTTACCTTTTATTAGTAGACAGCTAATTTATACAGTCAAAGAGAATAGTTTATCTTTAGGAAAATATAAGATCCTTCCAAGATCAAGCTTGTTATTTAGCAAATGAGATCATAACATTTTACTAATGATACTGTGGCGATATATTTTATCATGTAGAGTGCTGTTTATTATGTTTTGTTTTGCTAAATTAAGCTAGGAATAATCTTCACTCCTGATCTTGTTCTCTCCACCTCCCAAAGTCTGGAATTACAGGCATGTGTCATAACAACACAAAATTAACATCACCACCAACAAAAAATTTTAATACGACTACAAAATCCATGATCTACTTTGAAAAAGGCCATGAAAGCCTGGCAACCAAAGTTTAATCCCCAGAATCCACAATGGAAGGAGAGACCTACGGCTGAAAATTTTCCTCTGACCTCCACAAACATACATATCATACACATATATACATAATAATTCATACAACGAAAAAAATTGAAATATGGTCTTGCCGTGTAGCCCAGGCTGGCCTCAAATTTGCAGTCTTCCTACTGCCTGAGCCTTCTGATTATAGGAAGTTAATAAATCTTTTAAATCACTCTGAAAAGACTGTTGGCTTCTATAGCAGCCTATGTTGGTTATGAGTACTTGATTTTGGTTGGGAAAAATGGATTCTCATAAAGGATTTTTTGTTTGTTTGTTTTTTGAGACAGGGTTTCTCTGTTTAGTCTTGGTTGTCCTGGACTCGCTTTGTAGACCAGTTTGTACTTGAACTCACAGAGATCCACCTGCCTCTGCCTCTCTGAGTGCCGGGATTACAGGTGTGTGCTACATTTTATTTTGTTTTGTTATGTTTTGTTTTGAAATTTTGGGATTGGAGAGATGAGTCAGTGGGTAAGAGGACTTCCTGCTCTTCAGTACTCAGCACCTCCATCAGGTGGCTCTCAACTACTTGTCACTCCAACTCCAGGAGTTCTAATGACCTCCACAGATACACATACACACACACACACACACACACACACACACACACACACATATATATATATATATAAATAAAAACAAAAATCTTTCTAAAAAATCAACCTAAACAAAATAGGACCAGGTGTGGTGGTACATGCCTTTAATCCAAGCACTTAGGATACAGAGACAGGCAGATCTCTGTGAGTTTGAGACCAGCCTGTTCCATTTAGAACAGTCCAGGACAGTCAGGACTATACAAAGAAACCCTGTCTCAAAAAAAAAAAATCAAAATAATGACTAAAACAAAAACATTTATTCTGTCATTATTTTTAATAAAGATAAGCTCTTAACTATGCAGCTTTTCCCCCCCGGTGCTAAGGATTGAGCACAGACTTGAGTGTGCTAGACAAGGACCCTGCTGTGGTCCTTGTTCAACTATCTGTGGTCCTTTTGTTCTACTCTGATAGAAACTGTGAATAAGAAAAAAAAGGTTTTCAAGTACTGGTTCTTGGCCACTTGGTGTTTGAGAATAGTGAGCTGAAGGAAGAGGTAAGTGTGCTCTCCTGTTTTACAGCTCTGGTGCAGACCTAGTAGCAAGACCCTTGGTTCTAAAAGCACTAGAGTTATTACAGAAGGCCAGGAGGTTGGGATTCCTTAGCCCTTGGCAGGAGCTGGCATTGCAAGTGACAGGCAGGCCTAAGTATCAGGGTTTCTCAGCCCTTGGCAATGGCCAGTATTAGAGCTCTCAGGGTAGGGTTTCCAAGACACAACATGCTTAAGTCTTGACAGCTCTCTGGAATTCTTCCAGTGACCAGGAGGACCCCTTACATTGCTAATTTTGAAGCTCAGCCCACTGACAACCAAACTCTGTCTCTTCTTCAGCTGGCAAAGAGTCTTGCCACATTCATAGCTCAGGCCTGCACACTGACCAGCTCTCATTGCCTCTGCTCTCTCTGCTATTTCTTTCTTTGTGTTTACCAGCCCAGCCTATACTACTGAAAATAGGCAAGACAAGACCACCCACGAGAAGAAACCTTATATTGAGCTAGCACAGGATCCAACAAGAGAGTCTTAAGAGCCTGCTTATTTAGCCACAGGAGTCTTTGGCCCAATCACAGCATACCTTGCATAGCATTGTCCTTTTAGCAACAGCCACAGCAGTCCCTCTGGTAGGCCACCAACAGTTATTCCCCTCTGGCCTTGCAGGGGAAAGAGGAACATTTTTGCAGAATCTTCTAGAATTCTGTAATGCTTTTGATAACAAAAAACTGAGTACACACTGTTGGGGTAGTCCTAGTTAAGGCTTTAACTCCACCTCCAGGAGCTAGAACAGTCAGCTGAATTCATTGTGTAGTTTTCTCAAGGCAGCTGTGGGGTGTTGAAAACTGCTAGCCTTAGCATAAGAATGGTTCAGCTGGCTGACTGACAGTCTTTGGACTCAGAGCAACCAGGGCAGCAAGGAAGAGTCCAAGAGCTTCTAGTTAGGAATCAAATTGCATAGTCCCCTAGTAACTAGGCTTTTTTTTTTAAAATAGGAAAATGAACATCAGAAGGAGTGCTTAGAATAGGAACTTAGAAGAACTTATCTTTAACACTAATAATAACTACATTAACAGACATATATAGTGATTAAAGCCTGCCCAGTAGCTAAGGGAATGCTTGCTGGTTCTCCACTTCTCTCTCAGCAGCCGTGGACTACATGCCCAGCCCTTTAGTGTTCTTTTGTCATTATGGTTTGCCCATAGTATTTTATTAGATGATGGTAGATACTATTGACCAGCAATTGTAAGCTGATATTTTTTTTATTTGAGTTTGAATAGGTTGTGGAGTTTTGTATTTAAAACGTTAAGTTTTTAAAATTAAGGCCAGTCCTGTGGCACACACCTTTAATCCCAGTACTCAGGAGGCTGAAACAGGCAGATCTCTATGGGTTCAAAGTCAGTCTGATCTACATAGTGAGTTCTAGGCCAGCAAGGTTACATAGAAGAACCTGTCTAAATAAAAGTGGTGCATAGGAGAATATTCAGATAACAAATGAAAAAACAAGCCAAAGACTCCCTGCGCTTCTCATACTATACCTCACTTCTCAGAGGTACTCACTGTGAACTCTTTGGATATATCTTGCTGGTTCTTTTTCTGCGCTTATATTTTTTGCCCTTTATAGTAACAAATAACAAACATGTTATTCCATATTTTTGCTTTAAAATGTTGTCTGTAAATGTTCATATCTGCATAATTCTACCTTTAAAAAATTACTGTGTGCAATGCCAATTAATAAATGTCTTCAAGTTTATGTAATCCTTTCTTGAGAAATATTTCAGTCTTCCCCATGTTCTGCTTATATAAATGACACTTACCTTTTTATACACAGAGATATTTCTGTAGAATACAATTAAAAGGTCTGTACTCTTCAAGCTTATAGGTAATCATTAAAATTGTGTTCAGTGCCAGGTTGGTTACTGATGCCTGTAATCCCCACACTTGAGAGGCAGAGGCAGAAGGAATGCTGCAGCGCTAAGTGGTGCCTTCCACACTAGCTAATGTTACAGAGTGAGATCTTATGTCAAAAAAAAAAAATCTGAAGACGACTCATGTTCTAGTATTGCCATACCATTTTGTATTCCAAAGTACACAAAGTGCTTATTTCTTTATATCTTAAAAACACAGATTGGAAATTACAAATCTTTTAATTTGCTAATCAGATGAATTAAAATATTTACTTGGCTGGGCATGGCAACATGTGCCTATTATCCTAAGCCACTTAAAAGGCTGAGTCATGAGGCTTATGAAGGCCAGCCTGGGCTATAAAAGCAAGACCCATTACCACCCCTAAGTTTTTACATTGCAGTTTATAACCCCTCTTGTTTTAAATAATCTTTTCCTGTCGCGCGCGGCCTTTGCCGATAAGGACGACGCAACAACCGAGGATTTCTTCAGCAGCAAGTTTATTGAACAGCTCTTTCTTGCTGATGGTGAAGGACCCAAACCCCGGGTTGTGCTCTGCTTAAATAGCCAGCAGCGCGACCTGTCCGTCTGTAATTGGTGCTCTGTTCAAGTCTTCATAAGCATATGGCTGGCAATTGGAGTGCAGCCTAAACCCTCATTAGCATAAAGCTGCGCATGCGTAAACTGCAGGGCGGTGCAGGCAAGAAGCGCGAAAATGCTGGCAAGAAGAACCAAGAAGCAGGAAGCCGGCGCCATCTTGTAATGGCGGGAGCGGCTCCCGACATTTTCCTTTTTCATGATTCATTTTATTTTTTAATTATATGTATATGTTTGCATGGACATGTGTTATGTTCACATGACTACTGGTACCCGTCAGTGTGGGTAGCAACAGAGACCAGAGGAGTCAGATACCCTGGAGCTGGAGTTATAGGTGGTTGTGAGCCACCTGATGCAGGTGCTGCAAATTGAACCCCAGTCCTGGAAAAGCAGTATATGCCCTTAACATCTGATCCATTTCTCCAGCCCCCATTTAATATTATTTTTTACTTTAATTTTATTTATGTATTTATTATAATTTATTCACTTAATATCCCTACTGTAGCCCCCTCCCTCATCTCCTCCCAGTACCACCCACCCATCCACCCTCTCTCTTCTCCCCTTTCTCTTTCCCCTAGTCCCCTAATAGGGGAGGACCTCCTCCCCTTTTGTCTGACCCTAGCTTATCAGATCTCATGAAGGTTTGGATGCATTGTCCTCCTCTGTGGCCTGATAATGCTGCACCCCCCACAAGGAGGTGATCAACAAGCCAGCCGCTGAGTTCATGTGAGAGACAGCCCCTGTACCCCTTACTAGAGAACCCACCTGGAAATTGAGCAGCCAATGGACTTCCTTTGAACAGGGGCTGTAAGTCCTCTGCATGAATGGTCCTTAGTTGGAGTATCAGTCTCTGCAGGACCCCCTTGGCCCAGGTATTTTGGCTCTGTTTTTTTCGTTTTGGAGTTCCTGCCCCCTCCAGGTCTTTCTATCTCCCTCTTCTTCCATAAGGATTCCATCACTCTTCCTAAAGTTTGGCTATGAGTCTCAGTATCTCCTTAGATACCCTGGTAGGTAGAGTCTTTCAGAGGTCCTCTGTGGAAGTCCCCTGTCCTGTTACTTGTCTCCTCCTGCTTCCGATGTCTATCCTGTTTGCTCTTCTGAGTGAGGTTTCAGCCTCTTCCTTAGGGTCCTCCTTGTTGTTTAGCTTCTTTAGGACTGTAGATTTTACTGTGTTTATCCTATATCATGTGTCTTTCTGCTTCTGGGTTACTTCACTCAGGGTGAGCTTTTCTAATTTACACCATTTGCCTGCAAATTTCATGATTTCCTAGTTTCTAATTGCTGAGTACTATTCCATTGTGTAAAGATACCACACTTTCTGTATCCATTCCTCCATTGAGAGACATCTATGTTGTTTCCAGATTTTGGTTATTACGAATAGAGCTGCTATGAACATGGTTGAGCAAATGTCCTTCCTTATTGAATGGTGAGGCAACTTTTGGGTATGTGCCCAGGAGTGGTATAGCTAGATCTTGAGGTAGCACTATTCCTAATTTTCTGAGGAAGCGCCAGATTGATTTCCAAAGTAGTTATGCAAGTTTACATTCCCACCAGCAATGGAGGAGGGTTCCCCTTTCCCCACATCCTCTCTAGCATGTGTTGTCACTTGAGTTTTTGATCTTAGTCATTCTGATGGGTGTGTGGTAAAATCTCAGGGTCATTTTGATTTATACCTCCCTGATGAATAAGGACATTGTGCATTTCTTTAAGTGTTTCTCTGCCATTCAGTATTCCTATATTGAGAATTCTCTGTTTAGCTCTCTACCCCATTTTTTAATTGGATTACTTGGTTTGTTGCTGTTTAACTTCTTAAGTTCTTTATATATTGTGGATATTAGCCCTCTGTCAAACGTAGTGTTGTTGAATAACCTTTCCCAGTCTGTAAGCTGTCATTTTGTTCTGACAACAGTGTCCTTTGCTTTATAGAAGCTTTTCAGTTTTATGAGGTCCTATTTATTGATTGTTGCTCTTAGAGACTGTACTATTGGTGTTCTGTTCAGGAAGTTGTCTCCTGTGCCAGTGAGTTCAAGGCTCTTCCCCACTTTCTCTTCTAATAGATATAGTGTGTCTCATTTTATGTCGAGGTCTTTGATCCACTTGGACTTTAACTTTGTGTAGGGTGATGAATATGGCTCTATTTGCATTTTTCTACATGTAGACATCCAGTTAGATAAGCACCATTTGTTGAAGATGCTGTCTTTTTTCCATTGTATACTTTTGACTTCTTTGTCAAAAATTAAGTTTCCATAGGTATATGGGTTTATTTCTGGGTCTTCTATTTGATTCCATTGGTCCACCAGTCTGTTTCTATGCCAGTATCATGCCATTTTTATTACTGTTGCTCTATAGTACAGCTTGAGATCTAGGATGGAGATACCTCTAGAAGATCTTTTATTGTACAAGATTGTTTTAGCTATTCTGAGTTTTTTTTTTGCTTTTCCAGTTGTTCTTTCAATGTTTGTAAAAAAAATTACGTCCTTTAAAAATTATTTATTTTTCATTACTAATTTCAGGAGCTTTTTAAATATGTGAATAATAGTCTATAATAAAGAGAAAGTTGATATTATTAAACTATTTGACTTTAAATTTCATTGTATTGTCTGTCTCCCTCTGTATTTGTCCTCATCAATTTGTCCATCTTTTTCTTTGTTATAGATTAGCAGTATTCTTAGGAAGGCATTTTCTATCTTAAAATTGTAAAAATATTCTGCATTCTACCATTTTTAATACTAATGTTTTGTTAAGCTTTATTTGTATTATCACAAAGTTTCTGAATTTGTCTTTATGGCACCAAGGTTATTAAAATATTTTCTGCATCATTTTTATTCAGACACATTCAGGAGGTGGTCAGTCTTCAAACACAGCAGAATAAAGAGTTGCAGGAGCTCTATGAACGCCTTCGAGCAACTAAAGACATCAAAGTGCAATCTTCAGAGGTTCCTTTGCCACCTACATCGCCACGCAGGCCAAGATCTTTCAAAAGTAAACTTCGAAGTCGTCCCCAGTCCTTGACACATTCAGAAAATGTCGTTATTGTAAAAGGTAAACCAATCATACATGGAATTGTTTAAAAACCAAATCAGATCTGGGCATAGTTGAAGCATTCAGGAGAGTGAGGCAAGAAGATAGGATGTTGACTTCTAATTTAGTCTGGGCTAAATAATAAGAACCTGTCTGAAGAAAAACAAAATCTGATCAAAGAACAGGAAAATGAAAAAAAACTGTGATAGTGCAAGTTGCTTTTTATTAGGCTAAAATAATTTAATGATGGACACAGTGATTTAAAATACTCCTCTTTTTGGTATTGAATATACTGTAATGAATACCATTGACATATTGGAGAATAACTAAGTTTGCTTTATGTTTTCATTTTGAAAACAATCAAGTGGAATTCCATTGTCTTCCTCTAGAATAGTTTCTGAAATGTTCCAATTGGTGATAATTACTAGTCTTAAATTTAGAGTTGGTTTAAAAGTTTGTTGAAGCCAGGAGGTGGTGGCACACATCTGTAATCCTGGCACTCAGGTAAGTAGAGGCAGTGGGGAGGGATCTCTGTGAGTTCGAGGCCAACCTGGTCTACAAAGAGACTTCCAGAACAGCCAGAATTACACATAGAAACCCTGTTTTGGAACAAAAAAAAAAAGTTTTTTGATAGCGCCGGTAAATTTTGAAATATTTCCATGTTGTTCTAAAGCAAGAAGTTTCTATATATTACTTTTTAAGATCTATTTTATTTTATTTTCATTTATGTATATATGGGTGCATGTGTATCAGTGCCTATAGAGACCAGAAGAGGGCCTTGGATCTCCACAGGTTAGAGTTACAGGCTGGTGTGAGTCACTGACTTGGGTCCTGAAACCCAAACTCTGGTCTTCTCTATATCACCTTTATATATTATTTTTTTAATGGTTTTTAAAAATGGGGACAGGAGAGATGACTCAGTGGTTAAAAGCACTGGCTGCTCTTTTATAGGACATGGGTTCAATTCCTAGCACCCACATGGTAGCTCACAACTATCTGTAATCCAGCTCCAAGTGATTTGTCACCCTCACACAGACATACAGGCAGGAAAAACACCAATGAGCATTAAAAAAAAATAAAGGAAAAGAGAAATTTTATTTCTTTCTTAAATATTTATTTATACTTTATGTGTATGACTGTTTACCTACATGTATATGTATACACAACATGGTATGCCTGGTGCCCTTGAAGGTCAGAAGGCAATGCTAGATCTTCTGGAACTGGAGTTTAGGATGGTTGGGAGCTACCATGTGGTTGCTGAGAAGCAAAGCAGCGTCTTCTGAAAGAGCAACAAGTGCTCTTTACTGCTGGGCCATCTCTCCAGCCCCTATGAGGTATTTCTTTAACTTGGGAAAAGAGTCCATATCTACTTAGCTAGTAAAGAAATTATTCATCAGGTTAGGCATCTTTGGTTCCATGTACATAACGAAGGTCAACATACCACATACTTTCACATCCTTTTTTATTGCTATACTACTCAGTAATACTACTCAGAAGAGTGAAGTAGCACTAACGTAGAGGTCTGTTAGCAGATGAATAGATAAAAACCACGTGGCACACAATTCAATGAAATTTTATTCAGCTCTAAAGAAAAATGAAATGATGGAAAACTAGTCATGTATAGTGGTATATACCTATAGCTGCAGCACAGGGGAGGTTGAGGCAAGTAGATGGTTGAGTTTGGGGACCAGTATATACTGAGCTATACTTTGGATGATTTTGGGAGAAATAGAATTGAAGGGTAGATTAAGATTAAAGGTAGCTTTGTAAATTCAGTATCAGAAGTCATAGGGCCTTCAGTACACTCATAGCTAGACTTCGTTTTGTTCCCAGATGTCTTGCTTGCATACATAGTTATTTTGTTCATTTGTTTAGAGGTGAAGTCTTCCTATGTTACCCAGCATTGGCTGGGCTCAAATTATCCCTCTACCTTGGCTTCTGAAGTTGCTACGACTAAAGGAGAGGCACTCTGATTTTTTTTTTAAACTTACGTTGTGGTTTGCTGAAGATTGAATCACAAGAGCCTTGCACATTCTAGGCAAGTGCTCTGTTAATGAACTATACCGTGCACTTAACCAAATGGCTTTTTTTTTTTAAGTTTTATTTATTTATTTATTTATCCATTTATTTGTTTGTTTGTTTGTTTGTTTATATGATTGTTCTATTTGCATGTATACCTACATGCCAGAAGAGGAAATCAGATCACATTATAGATAGTTGAGAGTCACTATGTCATTCCTGGGAATTGAACTCAGGGCCTCTTGAAGTACTCTTAACCACTGAGCCATCTCTCCAATCCCCCAAATGGCTTATGTTTATTTATATTTTCTGTTGTGCCCAAACCATGGCTTTCATATTATTAAATTATTTGAAGTGCATTATAGTAGTTTTTACCTGTTGTGAAATTTTTAATTCGATAAATTTTGCTTTCTGTATTTTGGAATTTTGCTGATTGTGGTTGTTACATATTTTCAAACTGGTATATATTTCTGTTAAGAGTTTAGACAACCAGTTTTCAATACTTTACTAGTTGTACCTTTTTCATTCTTTTAATATATATTTATTTCTTAATTAGTTTATTTTGTGTGTCTCTCTGTATGTGCATGTGTGTGCCAACATATTTGTCCCAGCCTGCATTTGGATATCAGAGGAGAAGTTGTGGGAGTTGGTTCTGGACACCAAATCAAGTTGTCAGACATGGTGGCAAGTGCCTTTACCCATGAAACTGTCTTCCCAGTCCTTTGACTTTTTAATCTGAACAGTATTAATAATGGACATCATTATGCAGTTAGAACATTATTTTATCTAGTCTTCCAACCTTTGGCTTTTTATTGGGTTATTTAAACTATTTCTATATCATTTAAGTATATTTCTACTTATCACTTTGCTATTTATTTTATGTCTAATGACCTTTTGTTATTTTTCAATCCCTGCCTGTTTCTTTTGTATTAAACATGTATTTTTAAAAGATTCATTTGTGTGTTGTGTGTGTGCATGTCTGTAAGTGTTTTCCTTACCACTTTTCACCTTTTCTTCTGAGGCACAGTCCCTCTTTCTTACATAGGTTGAAAGCCAGCAAGCCTCACTGATATTTCTGTCTTGCCTCCCCTAACAGCTGGAATTACAGGTGTTTGGATGCCTGCCTTACTAACATGGGTACTGGGATATGAACTCCAGTCTTTATGATTGTTCAATAAGTACTGAGCCATCTCTCCAGGACCTAAGTAGATTTTTTTATAATATTTAAATCCTCTTGTTTCCTTTATTATATTTTTTAGTTGTTTTCCTGTGCTGACTATGAGGATTACAATTACCTTCTACATTCAAGGCAATATAATTCAGAATAACACTATCTTAATTTCAATAGTATATGCATTATCTTCTGTGTATATGCCTTCCTTTCGTTGTACTAGTATTATTGTACACATTACATTTTTACATATTACAAGCCAATCAACACAATTGTGTAATTATTGATTTTTAGTCATCTTTGTATTCAGATGAGAGAATAAGAGAGTTATAAACAAAAATTATACTGAATATTATATTTACTAATATAGCTCTCTTTGTTTCTTCACCTACACTTTTTACTGCCTTGCCAACCTTTATTTCACAACAACAAACTTCATCTGTTTTTTTTTTTGTTTTGTTTTGTTTTGTTTTACAAAGCAGCTCTGGTAACAATTCATTTTAAGACTTTTTCCAGAATTTTTTTCATATTTTCTATTTATAGGATTTGTTTTACAAAGCAGGTTATAGAAAAATTTCTTGGATTCAAGGTAGAATTCAACTTATAAATTGCTTTTCTCTTTGCAACAAAATATACTATAAAAAAGTTTCTTTTTAAAACATTTTTAAAGGTTTATTAATATGTAATTAACATAAAACTACATTTCCATACATATTAGAATATTCATAGTTCTGTATCCATGGCAGTTATCAATTTCCAGACATTTCTACATTGTAGAAGACCCTGGATCCATTACATTTATTCCCACTCCCTATTCCAGTCCCTGAGACCATTAAACTTCACCTCTCGTGGAAGCTCTTCATTGGCAGAATCCTAAGTGTAGCTTTTGAATGTGGTTTCTTCTTCTGGGTGTATTCTGCCGACCCCTCAATTTGCTGTCTACATCTGTGTCTCACTTCCCTTTGTGTCTAGATGATGTTTCACTGTCCTCATTTTGTGTACCCATTCTAAGGGATCCTTACTTGCAGCAAAGTACCCCATATACCCCCTTCCAGTTTCCCTGAAGAGCTCATGCCTGGTGGATAAATTGGCCACTAATAATGATTCTTTTCTTTGTGCTGATGGAGAGGAAGGGCTCATACATCACATTATACTATGCTGGATATGATCAAAATCTGGATTTCTCTTACAGGATTTTCTTCCCCTACTCCTCTTACGAGTTGTTGGTTTCTATATTCTGTATACCAATGACTGAATGATGGATTGCTACTGCAGGAGAATTTTCCTGAATGTGAGGCTCTTGGACATATGTTTCCCTCTTTTGTTTGTGTTTTGCTTGGGCAATCAAAAGGAAACATTTTGGATTTCCGATCTGGGTGTATCATTGCTTTGACAGCCTCCAGTTCCTAGAAACAGATGTAACTCTTTATATTTTGTCTTTTGGCCCAGAATTAAATGCCCTTATTTATTTATAAGAGGTAGAACACTATTATAGACAGAATTCTAAATTAATTAGCTATTTAAATAAATCCTTTTCTACCATAAATTTGATTAAAAAAAACTAATGAAACATTGAAGTGGAAATAAATATTTTATCCTATAAATGTCTATTAGTAAATTAAATTAATAAATAATATGATATAGCAATCTTCATAATATAAAAAGAAATCATTTTTATAAAAGATATGCTACCACTTAGACTCAAATTTTCAACAACTTTGGGAAATAATGTAAAACAGTAGACTCCATTCTTAATAAGACCATAAATCAAAGTCATGACATACATTTATAGTACACCTTCTACAGCTCAGGGAATGTTTTGGAAGAGGGG